AGTACCATTCTCATCAGATTTATTTTTAAAAATCCACTTGGTACCTATCACATTCACACCTATTTTGGGGACTTTGGTTTTTAATCAAAAAGTTATTATAAGTTATCACATCACTTTTTCTACTTTTTTATACGTTTTTTCGTGAAAAACTAAAAAAATAATGATCTCGTCAGGGAAGGCATGGAGGATCATGAGGGTGCGGTAGGTTTCCAGATGGTCGACTGGGTCCGTCGTGCCATCGAAGGAGTCAATGGTAGGCATCTTGAACTTGGCAGGCAATGGTTTGTCGCGGATGGAGGCAACAAAAGGCGAGTTGGTGGTGGCTGAGGGCTTGTGCTGAATGTTCTGCATGACGCCTTGTAGTTGGAGTTTCATAGCTCGGATTTCAGCGTCCCAGAGGGGAATGTTGTCGCCATGGTCGGCCAATGGAGGCTGGACACTGCTAGCTTCCCCCTCAGGGGTCAGTGCTGCGACTGGCGGGCGTGGAGGTGGAGGTGGTAGGTTTTCATGTTGGGGAGGAAGGAGTTGCGAACCTTCTGGGTTAGGCGGAGGGGGCTGTGGAGCAGTATGGCCTGGGGTTGTCCCTTGGTTGGGTGGAATGTTTGGAGGTGGAACGGGGGGGTTTCTTTGGAGTAACGCATTGATCAGGGCCTGGTTTTGCTCGGCCATGCGGTTAATGCTGTTGGTGAGCTCGATGATGTACTGTGGTGGGTTGGTTGGGTGGGAGGGATCTGTTTGGTGATCGGCGGCGTTGTGGTGAGAAGCCATGGACCTAGTCGTGACCATACACCTGGACGGGCAAGAGGGGAAGGTGATGGTGAGAAGGGAGGGCTCCGGCGGTAGTGAACACAACTAGCGCACGAATAAACCACTAATTTCCCACAGACAGCGCCAACTGATAGGGTTATAAGTTTCTGCTTCCCGGATGGATGGGTCGGACCGGTCCAGGCTTTTCAGACTCTGGCTCAGGGTGATGACTCCGTCAAGTGACCTGCATGCAAGCCCAGAGGGGAATGGGGTAGTCCCCCAGTGAACCCTCCAGTGTGAGAATTAGTAGAGTAAGGAGCAGGGAAGAATGTGTAGAGAGGGATTGAGAGAGAGAGAGAGATAACTTAACCTTATTCTTGTCCTCCTATCCTTGCTTATATTCTTTAGTTATCATTTTTCCTGTCTCTTGTGACGTGCTTTTCTTCGCCGAAAGCCTGTGCCGTAGCTTACCTTGTTCAGGGTGATGGAGGCTCTGTTCCGGCGGGGGGTGCTGTCGTAATAAATGTTGTAATGGGATGCATTAATGGTGATGTGTTGTGATAATAACTCTGCAGATCTTTATCTGCTGATGTGGCCCATGTCCCACCTGCCATGTGCCCAAATGCCATTGGCCCTCCATGTCTAGATGGCCTCCAGCTGTCCTGGGCTTTGCCAACCGGGTTATGCCATTGGTCCCAAGCGATGGGTTTGGGGTTGTTTACTGTGGGCCATATGCCTTCTGGGCCTATCCATGTCAGTAGTCCCCCATTTCCGAGTGCAGCTTTAGACCAACGAAGGGAATAGTAAGAAGGAAGAGAAGTGTGAACCCCAAGCGATGGGTTTGGGGTGGTTTACTGTGGGCCGTATGCCTTGTGGGCCTATCCATGTCACTATTTTTGACTTATTTTTGTCTTTTTTGATTTTTTTTAGAATTTTTTTTTTAAAATTTTGGTTCATCTTATTGAGTAAAATTTAGAAGTCTAAAACTTTTTGAATCTTTTTTAAAAAAGTTTATTAAAGGCCAAAATAGACTAACAAAAATATCACACACTCGTTTGGGAAAAAAAAAAAAAAAAAAAAAAGGAAGCAATCAAACAAAAAAAAAAAAAAAAAAACCTCAAACGTCCAACTAAGCTTTAAAACAACATGAGAAATGTTAGAGATACCAACACGGTTAAATGTCAATTTTTTTACTTTTTTTAATCATATTACTTTTTTATATTTTTGTATATTGTTTTTTAAAAAAAATAAAAAGTCAAAAAAATAACTTTTAACCTACTTCTCAAAATAAACCAGCCATTAAACTAGCATACTAATAAATTGATGTGGGTCTTATACTAATAGATTTTTTTAGTAGTTTTTTGATTTTTTTGGCTAAAATATGGTGTAAAAAAATTAATATGTTTAGAATGACTTTTTAATTTTTTACGAAAAGATATGCAAAAAGTGGAGAAAAAAAAATATTTAGCTTTTTGGTATAAGTTATTGAATTTTTGATTTTTTTTGATATTTTAACTTTTAGACTGAAAAGTGATACTGCCAAGCGAAACCTAAATATCACTAAAATTTTTGTGTATTTATAAAATGTTAAGCCTTGTTTGGCATAAATTATTTTGTCCACCTTTTTATCTTTTTATCTTTTTTAAGTCACATCAATTAATATTTCCTCTCTACTTTTATATACATCTTTTTATAAAAAGTCAAAAAATACACTATCCTAAAATTGTTGAAACAACATTTTCCGTAATTGGTCAATCATGGTTGAGTCAGCATTCTTGTGTTTTGTAATTAGAACTAGCTTTTTGGCTACTTTTCTTTCAATAAATTATAAATACATCATCTGAATTTATTTAAATTATAAATTATTTTTTATAATTTTAAAAATTAAATTATACCCTTTAAGATTTTTAATTTTATAACAAATAGATTCTTTTGTTAATAAATTATTAAGTTAATGAACAATTTTTTATAATGTTAAAATTTTATTTCAATTAATAATTCAAATAATTTTATTATTGTATTAGGTAAACAGTCAAAAATTTTATTTTTTCAATTAATTCTGTTAAATAAAAAATTCTGACAGAAAGATATTTATAATTTTTCAAACCATATAAGATAATTCATATTTTACATAAATATCAAGAGATGTATTTGTAATTTATCATTTTTCTTTTTTTTGGCAATATTTCTCATTTCTTTTCAGTGTTTTTCTTAGCTTTTGGTCAATACAGAAGACTTCCTTCCCAGAGAAGAAATACAGTTAGTGGAAGAAGTGTAACTGTCCTTTTTCTTCAATCACTTTAATTGTGTACCTTGTGTTATCATTTGCCAATTTCCTACTTCCTGACTAAGGCAATTTTCAGCATTTTATTCTTTCGTTTTTGCCAATGTTGTTAGGGCTGAGCAAGGAATCCGTGAAATCCGTAATCCAATCCAGTCCAGTCCTGGGTCACCCTACAGGCGGTGATGGGCAGGGGGTTGGTGGCAGGGCTACCTACGTCGATCAAGGGGTGGCGGCCACGGTGGTTCTTCGTGTCAGTTAATGGGGGGATGGGGGTGCGCACTATCTGGAAGGTGCCAACTCGGTCGATGGAGTCTAGGCTGGGGGCGGTGGCGGAAGAGAGGGTGAAGAGAGTGAGGGAGTGGAAAGAGAGAGAGAAAGCCAAATGGGACGATCTTGTCCAGCCGTCTGCACTGTTTGAGGCGGGCTGGGACCGCAGCCGAAAGGTGGAGACCTCGGCCGGGCGGAGTTGGAGGAGAGGAGAAGAGCACAGGAGGTAGAGGATCGAGCCGTTATGGCCAAGGCTGCGAAGTTGATAGAGGCGCAGAGGGACCGACCGCCTGAACCGATCTCGCGGGAGAGGATCTAACCGCGCCCCAGGCCGTTGGGGGAAAAAGACTTAAGCAGCTTTGAGCCGCGGCGCCGCCTGTGGACCCTGTAAAAGAAAAGGCCAGAGAGGCGGTGGCGGCTCTGAAGAAAAAAAAGGAGAAGAAGAAGAGGGGAGCCCCAGAGGAGGCTGCAGAGGAGTCTGGGGCCAAGAGGGCGAAGGTGGGCCCAACGGATGCGGAGGTCCCTGCGGCAAAGGACGCCCCAGAGGTGGTGGAGATCATCCCAACGGTGGAGGTTGTGGAGATGGCTCCACCAGTACAAGTGGAGGCTGGGGTGGGTGAGGCGGCACCGAGCGGGAGGGAACAGGTCCAGAGGAGGCCTGACCCCCAGGAAGGAGGGGTTCGTGTGGCTACGGCGATTTATCATGCACGCGCGGTAGCTGGAAGGTTGGAGGGAGAAGAAGGCCCAACTAGGGCGGGAGCCGACCGCCTGGTGAAGATTGTGGATGAGGGAGCTCTGCGTGCGGCATCTGGGTATAGTGAGGCCGACCTACTAAGGGGGTTATGCTCCGCCCAAATGGAGGTAACCACCTTGGCGGGGGCTCTTCTTAGGAAAGCTGGGGCCACCAAGTTGAAGGCTGAGGAGGCCAGGACCCAGTTGGCCAAATTAAGGAAGGACAGTGCCGACTGGGAGACTGCCTATGCCGATCTGTCAGCAGTCAAGTTGGAACTGGAGGACACACGCCGTAAGGTTGTGTCGCTGGAGTTCCAACTGGCTGGTGAACAGAAAAAGTTGGAAGAGTCTAAGAGGGCCTGCGCCGTGGCAGTCGAGCGGCACGAAGAGGCTATGACCAGCAATGAAGAGCTGGTCAGGCAAAAGGATGAAGCGGACTCCAGAATTTATGACCAGCAATGAAGAGCTGGTCAGGCAGAAGGATGAAGCGGACTCCAGAATTGGAGACCTGTTGAAGGAGCTGGGGGAGGAGCGCGCCAGAGCAGAGGAGGACAAGGGGAGGCTTCTGAGGGAATGGGAGATGGAGAAGGCGAAGGTGGCGGCGGAGCTGGAGAGTCTGAGGAAGGGGATGGAAAAGGAGAGGGCGACGGCGGCTGCTGAAAGGGGGGCCCTGCAAAGGGAGCTGGACGAGGAAAGGGCGAAGGCGGCGTCTGAAAAGGCGGCCTACCCTGATCTATGTGTCGCGGCAGTGGAGCAATATAAAGGGTCCCCCGAATTCTAGATGGTGGTGGATGCTGCCGTCGCTAGGAGTCTGGCTGGTCAAGAGCCTGGGGGGGTGGGCCCATCAAGGAAGACTGCTGGAGGTAGGACGGAATCAGAGGTGATTGAAAGCTTCCAGCAGTCCGACTTCTATAAGCACGAAATGGCCGAGTTCTGGGACAGCGGTTGGAAAATGTTCAAGCATAGAGCTGAGGAGCTGTTCCCAAACTTGGACCTGAGTAGTGTGACAATAGGCGAGGATGATGTGGCCCAGACCCCCCTGGACGAAGGCGTTGAAGAAGAGGATCTAGCATCCAGCGAGGAAGAGTAGCCAAGGAGAAGAAGATCTGGGCGTGCTCTGTGGTTTTTTTTTTTTTTTTTTTAAACACATTGTAAAGGAATAAATGAAGGTATGGAGAATTTAACTGTAATGAAGTTGTGTACAAAGATTATATAATTGTAATGGATGAATGTATAGCCAGTTGAATTTTGTGTATTTTGCTTATGCTGCTAGTGTGAATGAAATGTTGTGATTAAAACTGGTCAAAAAGATTGGGTCAATAAAAAGATCGTGTAATGTGAAAGTTAAACATCATGAATGAAATGTTTATTTTGCGGAGTGTGATTGGAGTTGTATGAAAATTGAAAAGATAATGGAAAAAGTGGAGTAGGAGGCAGGTTGTAAATTGTAACTAACTAGTTGGCAAATAATCTGATCATTAGATGAAATACGTGAGAGTATATGGAGGATTTAACTCGGTTGTATTGTAACTAACTAGTTGGCAAGACACGATCCTAGAACTGTGAAGAAGCTTCAGAATGTGACTAAGTGTTGAAAATGTGGTGCTGCTGGGCGTTGAAGTGTTCAGTCAGGCTGAGGCTTTTGAAGTGCTCAGTCTGGCAGGGACCTTCGAAGTGCTTGGTCTGGCAGAGGCCTTCGAAGTGCTCGGTCTGGCCGAGGCTTTTGAAGTGCTCGGTCTGGCCGAGGCTTTTGAAGTGCTCCGTCCGGCTGAGGCTTTTGAAGGGCTCGGTCTGGCCGAGGCTTTTGAAGTGCTCAGTCCAGCTGAGGCTTTTGAAGGGCTCGGTCTGGCCGAGGCTTTTGAAGTGCTCGGTCTGGCCGAGGCTTTTGAAGTGCTCCGTCCGGCTGAGGCTTTTGAAGGGCTCGATCTGGCCGAGGCTTTTCAAGGGCTCCGTTCGGCTGAGGCTTTTGAAGGGCTCGGTCTGGCCGAGGCTTTTGAAGTGCTCCGTTCGGCTGAGGCTTTTGAAGGGCTCGGTCTGGCCGAGGCTTTTGAAGTGCTCCGTTCGGCTGAGGCTTTTGAAGGGCTCGGTCTGGGGGATGGGGCAGGTCTCGGCCTTCCATGTCTTGAAGTCGGTAAGTGCCTGGTCGTGGTCGGGCTTTCACAACGTAGGGCCCCTCCCATTTGGCTGCTAGTTTGCCCTCGGTTGGATTTTTTGTGGCAAGAGTCACTTCTCGCAAGAGAAATTCAAGTGTTATATATATATTTTTGTTATTTAATTATGTGAATCCGTGGTCCTAAACCGATCCAATCCGTATTTAAATGGATTGGTTCGGATTGGTTCCATGATTTAAACGGATTGGATTGGTTCCAATTTTTTAGGAACCGTAAATAACGGATTGGTCCTGGTTTTATCCCAATCCGGTCCAATCCGGACCATGCTCACCCCTAAATGTTGTGATCAAATAAAATAATTAAAAAAAAATTAAAAAGTAAACACATTTTTAATTAAATCTTTACCTATTAAGACCATCTCCAATAATTAATCAATTCTTTTATTAAATTTAAATTTGATAAAAAAAAAAAACATTTTTCTTTGCGCCAATGGTTTCATTTGATTAGTATCAAATTCAGGATATCAAAAACTTTTACCTCAGATAACCATCTCTAGCCAAAAATTTGTGAAAAAAATACACTGGCAAGTCGACCGGTCGGATATCCGCTCGGTCGACCGGTGTTTTAATGAAAGATCAAACTCCTCTGTTGGAGTACTTGATATCAAATGAAATTTTTATTCAAATTTAGGGATTGTTTGGGATGACCTAAATAAGTGTACTTTTTGTCTTTTTACGAAAAGATGTGCAGAAAAGTAGAGAGGTGATGTGATGGAAAAAAATAAAAAGATAAAAAGATGAATTATTTGAAGTATATCAAACTTGACCTTAATATAAAAAAAAAAAAAAGATGAACCGTTGGAAATGTCCTAACAAAAATCCACTAAACATTAATATTCTAACAAATGTAAATTAAACAACTGTGATTGTCTTCTTTTTTTTGTCATCTTAAGTTTTTGCAGCAAAGAAATAGTGACGTTTGGTTGCAGAAATTGGTTATGGAGTGAGATGCTTTGGGTTAGGATTGTTTGGTTACACGGACATGAAAAAGCAAAGAGTAGAAAGGTAACGTCAGTGACCTGATAACTCTAATAGAGGTCTGTGTAATTTGAAGAATTATAGGAGAGATATCTATAATTATTAGAAATCTCAAGAAGTCTATATAATTAACCCATTTATTTATAAGTAACTATCAAAGATTTATAAATCTATTAACAAATAAAAAACAAATCTATATTCACATAGTATACAAATAATTTTTTTATTTAAAGTATAAATTATGCTTATTATAGGTCATGTAGCCATTTTCGTCCAAATTATCAAGAATTATACATAGAGGCCATGTTTGATTCACAACACTAATAGTGAGGTATTAATAATCCTATTAAATTAGTGTGGTATTAGTTATCCCACCCCTACCCCATTACTAATAATCCTACAAATTTGTTGGATTAATTATCCATTGGATTAATAATCCTAAACTAAAATGTCAAAACAAACATAGGATGATTGGGCCCACGGATTAATAATCCCAATCCTATGCTTTAATCCTTCCAATCAAACATGCCAAGAGAGATTTGGTAATAGACACCTCAATGTCTAACTTATCCTTCAAAAGGACAAGAATTAAATGTTAGAGATATCAACACGGTTAAATGCTAGCTTTTTAACTTTTTTTTGATCATATTAGGTATGTTAGAGTAGTTTTTAAAAATTATTTTGGAGAGAGAGTTTAGAAATTTTTTTGATTTGTTTGGTTGTGTATTTTGAAAGTAGTTTTGGAGTTTGGGAGTTTGGAATGATTTGATATTTTGTTATAATTGAATAAATGTGTGTGAGAGTAAAAGTAATTGAGAATGAGAGAGGAGAGAGAAAAAATGATTGATTGATAGGTAAGAGAAAGAAAGTAATTTTGAAAATTATTTTAGAAAATTTACAAACCAAACAAATTTTTTTAAAATTTTTTCTCAAATCACTCTATAAATCCAAACCAAACATACCCGATTTTCTATATTTTTGTATATTTTTAAAAATTAAAAAAATCAAAAATCAAAAAAATAACTTTTAACCTACTCGTCAAAATAGACTAACCATCTTATTACCATACTCAAAAATTGATGTAAGTCTCATGCTAAATGATGATTAATCTCACTAAAATTTGGGTGCATTCATAAAAGGAAAATGTCTTGTAGTTCAAATTTTGTGGCTCAAAAGTGGCTCAAATGGCCAAAACGACATCGTTTTGGCCATTTTTATGTTGTTCTATACTCAAAACGACGTTGTTTTAACCATTTGAGTCACTTTTGAATTACGTCGTTCATAAAATGTTAGTATCCCTAAGATGGTTGAAACAACATTTTCTGTAATTGGTCAATCATGATGTGTGAGTCTAAATTCTTGTGCTTTGTGATTAGAACTGGCTTTTTGGCTACTTTTCTTTTTTGGCAATATTTCTCATTTCTTTTCAGTGTTTTTGTTAGCTTTTGGTCGATACAGAAGGCTTCCTTTCTAGAGAAGAAATACATGTCAGTGGAAGAAGTGTAACTGTCCTTTTTCTTCAATCACTTTAATTGTGTACCTTGTGTTATCATTTGCCAATTTCCTACTACCTGACGAAGGCAATTTTAAATCATTTTATTCTTTCGTTTTTGCCAATGCTATGATCAAATAAATAATAAAAAAAAATTTAAAAGTAAACACATTTTAAATTAAATCTTTACCTATTAAGGGTCATTTTGGAAAGAACAAAATAAGCAGATTTTTTAGAAATAAGCAAAAAGCTACTTACTTGGTGATTTTTTTTTTTTTTTGGGAAGACCAAATAAGCCATGACACAAATTTATCAAAATATTTCAAAAGAAAAACAATAAAATTTGCCACTAAACAGGGAGAGTAAGATGGTAATTTCTAGCATGTGCGCGAGGGTATTATAAGAATTTCACAATATTCAAAAAAATGATGTGACACCATATTTTAATAATTTACAAAAACCAAAAAAAAAAATTAAAAAAAAGCACTTCACAAATGAATTTATGAAAAAGTCAAAAAATAAAAACAAAAACAAAAACAAAACAAATAAGCTGTTTTTTTTTCTATCTTCTGAGTTTTTTAAACACACTTTTCACGATAATTTAAAGAATAAAAAATAAAGAAAAAAATTTTACATCTATCTTTACGTTTAGGAAACAAGTATTTTATTTTTTTTTATTTTATTTTTTTTACTTAGAAAATGTGTAACACGTTTTTGCACCTTTGTTTTCGACGCTCAAAACAAGTTTTTTTAATATTATATATAATTGTGTTTTATATTTCAAGTGTTGCGAAATTTTGTATTCTCAAACTTTTTTTAAATTTATTTTTTCTCACTCATTGAGCAAGACACCAAAAGCAACTACAGTCTACAATGATATGTCACATACCACCTTAGATAGTCTCATTTTCTTAATAAATTTTGTCGCATCTTGTCTCATATTTTCATTATATAAACATGAGTTGTTTTATGTCATATTTTTCAGAGTCAAGTAACAAATAGTAGCAAAGGTGAAAAATAACGTAACTTGATTTTTACAAAAATTAATTCTATTAATACGTTATCGACAATGCCTTTAAAATGAAATTAATATTAAATGTATTTAATAATAATGTTAAAATAATTAAAATTTTAATGCATT